GATGATGATGATGATGATGATGATGATGATGATGATGATGATGATGATGATGATGATGATGATGATGATGATGATGATGATGATGATGATGATGATGATGAGAAGGAGGTGGTGGTTGTGGTGGTGGCGCAAGGCCCAAACAAACAGGCACGAAGGCGACCGCAGATATATTAATTCATTTGCTGAAAATCCTAAAACAAATTCTGAACACAACAGAATCAGTATCTTTATGCGAGGTATGAGAACGATGCGCTGTTTTGAGATGTTTCTCTATAGGACAGCGATTTTGTTTAAGGACAATATTTTCGTAAATTCCATCTGTACAATATTCTCATTAAGGCACGTCTAACGACCTCCATAAATTATCGTGTATTGCACTGCAATTGATCTGGGCACTTCGGTGTGATTAACGGCTCTTCGGATGGTGGATATGCATTTATACAGTTGATCAATCATTGGTAAATAAATCAATCGTATGTACAGACAGTAACTATTACTCTCATTTACTCCAGTCACCCTTTTATTGTTGTATACACGTTCCACTTAGGTGATCTGAACCCAAGAGAGCTCACCGCCGTGATATTAAGTCTCACCTCCGTACAGCTCTCCTGGAAGCAGCCTAATCTTTCAATAACCAATCCAGCGCTCTTCTGCATATTTAAAAATGGGATACCTATAAGAATAACTATGCACACGAAAGTAAACAGCCGTCTGACTCCCAACAGCAAATATGAATTTGGGGTGCAAACAATTCACTCGAACGGCGACTACATTGCACCCGGTGTCAATGTAACATTGTCAACGGATGACCAAAGTGCATTTAGCTGTTTAAGTTCCTAAACTCAAAGAACTGCCAGACTATCAATCATGTTGCAGGAATTTGTATATAAATGGAGCGATTCCGTCATATTAAATGTCAGCAAAACCTTTCAGCCCGATTATGCATCATTTGCTGTTGAATAGTCAGGGAGAAATATTGCCAGTAATAATTATTGTCTATGATATGGCCATCTCCGGCATATCAAAGGTCATCAAACCATGCTGCATTTTCTTCTAGCGATAGTGGGCCTGCAGACTGAACTACAATACGATGTTATTTACTGCCTAGATTCTTAACCACTGTAGACAACGAGCTCAGTGTCCTTCGGCTGCAAGTATGACTACGCAAGTCTTCATGCAGGCGCAGTTCAATGACCTCTCTTGATGACCCTTCCGCCACCAGTCGGAACACCGGACTGACTTTCACGACAAAACTGTTCTGGAACCAAGTTTTAGTGCAATGTGGATACTCCAAGCAAAGTAAACCGATGGGGAGAGGCTGAATTCATCAGTGGGGACTGGGACGGAAAAAAGTCATTTTGATGTATGGCATGTTTGCCGCGAGATTGAAGGAAACCTAGAGTCTCAGCAAAAGATCCGAACTACCATTCTTCAAACACAAGGGCCAACTTAGTTCTAACCTCAAAAGTAAATCTGTTCTTTAACATACAGTGCGTGACCGATCTCATGAAACGTTGGCTGCAATTTTGGAATGTGTATCCGACTAGGCAGGATTACTTAAGTGGGGTTGTTATACCGATTATCATGCGGCATAACCCTATAACATTTCGGACTTGCCAGGATGTCGGCTTTTGAATGTGCTTCTTTTTTTTTACCTCCGGCAGAAAGCACATTCGGCAAAAAATGACTACTTATGTAGCATGCATTATTCCTATTGATTTTCGATGGTATTATAAATGCAAATATATTTTGTAAACAACATGCACAAAAATTTGCTTTTTTGCTTATTTAGTAGGAAATCACATTGTCTTCATGTTTTATGCCCGAAAAAAAGTTTATATTTTGGTTTTAAAAAGTTTCTAATTATGAGATTTTTAAGACCGTGCGATGTCCACGCATGTCCGTTTACTAATGCTCCTCATTAAATGTACAACACAGTCCGGCTCCATTGCAAAATTTCATGAACCCTATGTGATATCTTCTGAAAGGCATAGAGGAATATATTATTTTGCTTACGCGGAAAACATGCACCTTGTAGACTGAAATTGCTGAACGTTGATGCAATGGCAGATCAGACTGGACATTATTCGCGAATTCAGAAAGTTTTTAGAACCAGAATATTCACCTTCTTCGGACACACAATGCAAATACAACGTGTTTTTCTACCAGAGGAGTAAAAAAGCATATTAGTGCAGGTTCTCTATAAACTCTATTTGAATTTATAAGGCCATCGAAATTCAGTAGGAAAATGCATACTACATAAGTTGCCATTTAGTACCGAGGGTGGTTTCTGCAGGAGGTCAAAAAGAAGTGCATTCAAAAGCCGACATCCTGGCAAGTCCGAAATAATATTGGATTATGCGCTTGATAATCAATATTACAACCCTACTTAAGTAATCCTTCTAAATCGAAAACGTTTTTCAGAATTTCGTCCAACCTTTCATGAGATCGGTCACGCACTGTAACCGTGAACTTAGCACTAACCCTAAAGTGAACACTTAAGCTATCGCAAACCCTAACCCTGTTCCTTAGCATAAACCTTACCCTGACTGAAGTCCTAACACTAACCTCGAACTTATCGCTAATTATAACCGTAACCCAAACCCTAACCTTAACCGTAATCCTAACGTATACCTTAACTATGACCTACCGTACCTTTAACACTAACCCTTACACCAACCTTACCACTAAACGTAAACCTAAACCGCAATGAAAATCCTAACTCTGACCGAAACCATTAAACTTAACACAAACTCTAAAACTAACCCCCATCCGAAAACCTACTCTGAATCTAAACCGAAAAAGCAGGTTGCCCATTTCCGTCTTAGCTTTCCCAATAACGAGTTCAATACCCTCCTTCAGGCATCTTTACTTTCAATGCCCACATTGCGTAAACACCTGGGACTTAAACAGCATTACAGTCCCCTACCAAAAAGTCAAGTTTTCGCGTTTCAGCATGACAATAATTAACCTGCGCAGACAAAGTCTAAAACCATACATTACATGGAGGGCCCGTAAACGTCGTGTTGTTTTAGAGGCCGTTGGATGGAATGCTCGAGTATTTGCTATCAGCAACAGGGCTTTTGACTTCAGTATGGTTCATCTGTGCTATGGGACAACTTAATTGAAGTCACGGGCATGATTTGACTTTAATTGTCTTCAGCACTGATCTCAGTTTAACCGTTTACTTCAGAAGTATTAGGTCCATTTTTGGCATGTTAACGATGCCCACTACATGTCGAAGTTGGATGAACAACTACAGATGTTCCTTGCTGCTTCATGAGAACCTGCTGCTGGCAGTAGTGTCGTCCTCCCGCCGGCCGGTCTTATCATTTACTCTAGAGCGGAATTAAGTCTACTGAGTATGTGGCAAAATGCCGGATAATAACAAAAGTTTATTTCTTTTGGAAATCTGAAAGCAAATTGCATTCAAATTTTCCTGCCGATCGCACGCCCACCACTTGTCGGCTTTCTCCGAAAATATTTTTTCGGTCAGGCAACGTGCGATAGGATAAATTATTGCATTCCGTAATGGGGTAAGCTAAAGACTTATGTGCAAAACGAAGTTTGTGGCTTTATGTTTACGAAAAAGTGATCCGTCTTCCTGTTTTAATTCAGAATGCC